CGAATAACTTCACTTCTAAAATGCCCCAAGCTATATGGTTGATGAGGAGAAATCGTCTTAAGAGGATTTTACAAAAGACCTGGCATTCACCATGCTCTGGTGTCTTCAAACTCTTAGAGAGATTCATCCAATCTCTACGTGATTGCCCCGGATTGACTGTAGTCGGCACAACAAAGTCTTCGAATTTTCCCCCAAACGAGCAAACAAGTTGGGAAGAGCATTAACTGGGAGAAGCAACATGTTCGTGCTTACGGTCTTCAGGTGACATGCCCATGGATATGATTTTTTTCTTGACGTGATCCGCCAATTACTCAACATAGTTTTAGGCCTTAAAAGAATAAACTCATCACTGGTGCTTATGTGAGCTTCCTTGACATCAAACAAATGTTTTGCAGTTAGAAAAAGTTTACAATGAGAATGAAAATTCTAATGCAACAGTTATGTAAGTCTTGAAGATTTTGAAAGATATCGCACAAATTTTGCGAGTTAAAGCACCATTTATTTTTGTATAGGAAAAACATATGATACCAACATAACTATTTAGAACATTCATGGGAGTCAGGAACACTATCTCATTGAAGTATGCTTTCAAAATAATCTTGCTTCAATTAGGACTTTTGAAGGTTGTAACGTGGTCTGGTTCATGGTTTTTAGAAAAAAGATTTTAAGGCTCAAAATATTTGGTACCCACCCATTCTTCATGATGTTCTCCAACCCTATGTTCAGTTAATTCGACATGAGTGTTCATCTCTCAAAAGGATTTTGTGACGGTCAAGGAAACGACGAGGCTTTCCGAGTAGAAACCACCCTCATGTCTTCGTGTTTGTAGTCACCAATTTGCTCTTTGTTGAGGACTTTTCTTTGTAGTCCTTGCTTTGCAATTTTTATTTTCCCTAATTTTTGCCTGAACTAATTTTTTTGAATTGATAGTCCAGCGGGATGCCTTAATTTTGCCTAAGTCACACGTTTTCATGTTTTTTGACTTAGCAGGCTTTTTCTTTTTTTTTTCTCGATTTTTGACTTTTTGAACAAAATGTGTGACATTAGCTTGCATTTGCTTGTTGAGAAGATTGTGATTGCCTCGTTTCTTGATGAATGAGGGATAACATTATGATTCCACATCTTCTGGCTTCATTATACATGAAAGATAGCCCTCGTAGTTTCTCTTCAAAAAACATCTTCCTTATGAATTTCGAACACTCACTCAGATTAACTAAAAACTACCCTGCCCCAGGTTAAAATTCAAGGTTTTTTCGTATAGAAAAGAAACTTCTACTTCAAGGCTCAAAAGGGGTTAGCAAGGGATTATCTTCCTTATATCTCCGGTGTTTAGGGATTTGAAACAATGCCTGTACATCATCAGCAAGATTTTATCCAAAAGCAAACAAACAGAGATTTTGTGTTCTTTAGATCATCATCCTCCCTTCAATCTCTGCCTAGGCAAGAGAATGGGCAACAAGTTGGTATCATAATGCCAAAAGAAATTTAAAATTTGAAAACAAATATGAGTGAAACGAATGAATTTCTTCAAGACAAACATACTCATTGTATTAAGATAATCATACAGATGCAAACGAGTTCTCACATGCAAACAATGTTTTGATAAACAAGAAAAAAATTACAAAAAGCAGAAATGAGTTAATAATCTGGGAAGGCTTTCCATCTGGACTTGAATTACCGAAAACATCCTTCAAAAATCAAAGTCACCATCAATCGTGTTTACTCTTCGGCGCATGCTTGATTTGAACTTCAAAACCAACGTCTTTGAATGACAAGATACCACTTCTGACCAACTTCTGAACCTCAATCTTCAAAGCAAAGCAACCCTCCAAGTCATGCCCAGGAGCACCTTGATGAAAAGTACAAGCCAAATCAGCTTTGTAGTACCAATGTATCTTCTCAGGAACCTTCGGTGGAGGTCAGGTCTGAACCAAATTCCTCTGCATCAGGATAGGGAACAACTCTGTATAGGTAATTGGAATTGGATCAAACTGGGTTTTCCTCTGATTAGGAACTTGCTGATTCTGTTGATAAATGGGAGAAACATGATGATTCTGATGATGATTATTTCTTCCTCTGGTTCTCTTCTTGGAAAAGTTATTATCAAACTTCTTCACACCATTAGTTGAGCTACCATCTTCATATGAACATCCTTTCCCAACATCTTCTTCTAGACGCACTCCCACATTCACCTTGTCAGGAAAGTCATTAGGTGCATTAACCATCACCTTCTCATGAGAGAATGATTTTAGAGTTTCAGTGAAGATTTTTATCATCGCTTCGTCCCTCTTAGAAGGATTGACTTAGGCGGCAACCAGAATTTCAACCAAACCAGTTAAGCGCTCCACACTAGCTTTCAAAATAGTCATCTCTCTACGGAGTTCAGAAACCTCTTGCTTGATATTCTCCATTGTCCTCTTAGCGCGAGTGTTGTACTGGTGAGACCAAAGGAAAAATAAGACTCGAAAAAAAGACCTTTGAAAGTGAAACAAAAAATGTAGAATGATGTATGATATGCAAAAGAGAGTTTTTATTTGATTTTCAAGGAACTCAAGATATTAAGTTGTAAACATCAAAGTATGAAGATAGAAGATGAATTTTAAATTGGCTCCAAACATTGGTCAAGTTATCATCAAGATCAATCATCCATTTTGGTGGATTAGGGTTTTCGCCCTATCAACACCCAAGATCCATTGAGCTTGACGAAACTTGTGATGTTTACAAAGAAAGACCTCCAAATTCCTTCAAAGTCAAGTGAAAAGGGTTTTATGGATGCATGAATGCATGGCTATGCAACAACCACAAGCAAGGTCACAAATAAAGTCGAAAGGTTCAACGTCACGAGCATGGAGTCAAGGTAAGGAGCACCCCCAAGGTATGTACTAACGGTTTAATCACACCTGTAGAGCAAGGTTCTAAGAGTTCCCGAAGTCTAAATTCCTCCTTCGGATATTACCAACGTCTTAATTACTCAATAATCAGCAATATTCTCAAGAGAAACTCATCCGAGCGTAGCATCGCGTAACAATTACTTCCAGATTACTCCGTTATAATCTCCGCGCTACACCTAAAAGGCCAAGATGGGTTAGGGTTCTACGGTTCCTAGCTTCTCTGGCTCCCAGGTCGAAAATAATAATGTCTTCCCGATTACTCGGTAAACAAATATTACGTTCAAAAGGGCCTTCCACTGAGTGGGGGATCTCATGCCTCCTTCTTCGTGATTACTCCCTCAAAGTTAACATGACTATACCGCCCGTCCTATTCCTAAGTGTAACTTAGTCCGGGCATAGGACATGTCCTTCGTAAATATTATCAACACCCAAATAATCATAATATATACATATAATCAAACAATCAAATAATGATAAAACAGATAAAACAAATTAGGCTTAACCCACTTAGGGATGGACCAGCAAGAGGTCAATTAGTCCCCAGCAGAGTCACCAATTCTGTAGCGGTGAAAATCGGAGATCAAGCTATTAATTAACTTGACTCACAAAAAGCAAGAGTCGCCACCGCGCTTTATTATTTCCAAGGGAAAAGGGAAATGAGCGAAATAAAACCCTAAAATATGCAATGTATAATAATACTTAAAAGTAATGAAAATACAATGCGTTTTGAAAAGAGATCGAGAGTTCGGGGGTTGGTTACACAATGAGAAGGTATTAGCACCCAATGCATCTGCGGTACTCCGCAGGAACCTTTTGAAATATCTGTTTTTTGGTTTAAAATTGTTTGTTTGATTAAAATGATTCGTTCGGCTAAAAGGTGGGTATGGACGAGATTTTTGAAGACACGATGGCCTAGTGTCGAAGTTTTGGCTTAAAAGGTATGAGTTTGAAAATGGAGTCTTTTGGGAAAATTATCTTAAGTTTTGGAAAAAATAGTAAACAAGCAAAAAAATGAATGAGGGTATTCGCACGATTGGATGAGATATGTTTGATGACGTGAAGTCAACTGAGTTGAAAGATTTCCCTTGGAATTAATCATAAGCAGGTAGATCTAATATTCAAGTAAGAAATCATAAATAATTAAAATCCACGAGAAACGAACAAGGTAGATATCAAGATAAATTGTAAGAAACTAAATGAATGGACAAAGAAGAATCATGAATAAAAGAAAAGTGTAATTAAAAGAATTATCTAAACTAATTTGAAATTCTAAGGTTACTAAGTAAGCTAAACTTAAATTCTAAAGTGTCTAACTAAATTAAATAAAATTTTGAAGTTATTAACTAAAACTAAATTAAAACTCTAAAGTTACTAACTAAAATTCGAAAGTTATTAAATTAATTCTAAAATAAATTAACACTCTAATATTACTGAATTAGGTCTAAACTAAATTAATTCTAAAGTTGCTAAATTACATCTAAACTAGTTTAAGTATAAACTAAATTCATTATAAAATTACTAATTTAATCTAAACTATATTGATAATAAAATTACTAACTTTAAATCAAAACTAAATTAATTCTAAATTAAAGATTAAAATTCTAAGATTAAATTAAAATTCTAAAGTTATCAAAATGTATCTAAACTAATTGGAAGTTCTAAAGTTATAAAATAGATCTAAACAAATTAAAATTTTTAAATTATCAAAATATACCTAAACTAATTAAAGGTTCTAACATTACTAATTTATATCTAATTAAATTAAAATTCTAAAGTTATTAATTATGATTCTAAATATTCTAAAGTTATAAAATACATCTAAACTAATTAAAAAAATTCTAAATTAATACTAAACTAAATCTAAATATAAGATTTACTAATATTTTTTTATATTTTTTTTTGGATGTCAAAAGTTAGTTCACATACAACTTTATTTACCAAACAACATCATTAAGTTTGAACAGGTAAAAGCTTCAAGCATATACATGCAAAAGCAAGCAACCAATGACAGTGAAATATATAAATCCAACTTACATAACAGCCGTCAGATTAGCTTCAACAGTGTAAAATAGATCCAACTACATACACAGCCATCAGATTAGTTTTTCCTCACTTTTTCCCACGCAGTTTGGCACCAAGGGCTCTCTCCAACTTGCCAATTATCTGCTGATTTGGAATGGCTTTTCCTGATTCATACTCCTGGATCACTTGAGGCTTCTCATTGATAATTTGGGCAAGTTGCGCCTGAGTAAGTTTCTTGTCCTTCCGGGCTTGCATTATAGCTTTCTTGAGTTCAGTTGGGACCCGATCATGAGCTAAATTCTCTGTATCCTCATCCAGCCTCTTAGTGTTCAACGAAGTGCTGCTAGATGCAGCTTTGTTCGTCGCAGCATTATGTTTCTTCAAGGTTTCGATATCGGCGCCGGAACGGCGAGCGGTGTTGACGGCTTTGTCATCCTTCCTGGCAGCGGAGGTGTTTTGACACTTCGTTTTGATCGGTTGGAATCTCTTGTGGGGTTTAGGATACACTGAAGCCAGTTCCAATTGGATTATCGAGAAAAAGAAGACCATAGATTCTGTTCCAATTTGGATGACGGTAACGCCGACTTTCTCAAGATCCTCAACCTAATTCTTTATAGCCAAAGCAATCTGGTTGCAAGTCTTAAATCTATTAACAAAAAGACAATGTTAAATGAAACTGACATACTGTGAGCTATCAAATAAAGGATCAGTTCAGAATAGTAACATGGCCAGTAAGCATTCCCCTAATGGGTCATTTGGCCAAACTCTTAGCTGTCGAAGACTAGAAAACAGTAATTGGCTTGGGACGAATCACATCACCATATATAATCAGTGGTTTGACACAGCGGGATCCATAGGATTGCACCTACCCGTTGGCAGTTAAAGAAAAAGCCACATAATGAATTTTACAGGTAACCTTGATGATGAATTTTACAGTTTGTGTAACAGAATAGAATAGAAATAATCAGGTAAAATGAAAACAAATGAGTCAGAATACTCTAACACACACAATGAACTTGAAAAGAAAATTGATTCCAAAGTTAACTTTCTGGGTTTTGCAAGAGATTCTACAGTAGATTGAGCAAGTTTGTCTCTTGCTGCATGCAAATCATTAGAACAGTTTTGTAAAGTATTGAAAACTCATAACTGCAAGTTGCAAACTGAACAACTGGAGCTAGTAAAAATCACCAAGAACAACTATTCCTCGATTTGAAAATCATAGTTGCTCCATTTTATTCACCATCCAACTTATTAAGACATTCTTCTATCTCTTTTGAGATGGTCTTCAATGGCAGCCATTTAGTCAACAACCGAAATGGAACAAAGACAAAGAATAGGGTTAGAAGAATACAAGACCGGTTAACTCTCTGAGAGTAGCATATTTCCAGGTATAAATCTGAACTTCATGTTTAAGTTTTTCACTTTACAGTAACTTTTCGCAATCGACAGGCTCCAGACGAAGATGGGAGGATGGAGGAGGATGACCTCTTGGCGGCGGAAGAAAAAAGGTGTGAGCGAGAGAGAATGAGGAAGCAGGAACAACGTACTACAACCGCCATTGTTCTCATTTGTGTAGAGGTTGTTTGGATTTTGATAAGCTAAAGATGAGTTGAATGAAAGGATAAATGTTGGATTTTTTTGGGATAACAATGAGAATCCTCCTATTGTGTCTATGTACTGTTGTTGTTTTTTTTGTGTGAAGTTGGATGTCGATCCGCGTGAAGTTTTTGAGCAGTGTTTGAGACTGTTGATAAATATTTGAATGGATGGTGAGGATTTCAGCTTTTAGAAAGATGATTTATTTGATATCCAGTTTTGTTATTGCTGCAAAAAGTCATGAACAAATAATAACATAATAGTAACTTTATTTATTGGATGGTCCCACTCTGCAATTTTCTTTCTCTATTTTTGACAAAAACAAACAAATAATAACATAATAGTAACAATAATATAGGAAGAAGAAAAAAGTATTAGTAACAATAAATAAAATAAAATAATAAAATGCAACAATGATAATAACAATAATGAGAACAAAAATAAAAATAATTAGTAACAATAAAAGATGAAATAATAAAATGCAATAAAGATACTAATAATAATAATAATAATGAGAAAAAGGGAAAATAGTTTGTAATATCTAAAAGAAATAGAAATAGATTAAAATAAGAAAAAAATAATAATAAGACAGATTTTTGAACTAAAACAAATTCATTGGAAATATGATAGAAAATGCAAATGATAAACTATTTTAATTCTTTTTTTTTAAATAGAAATTAAAATGATGAATAAAAACAAGAAAGTATGCGAAATGATCGATTTTTCAAATTAACGACAAAATATGCACCAGTCGAAAAAAGTGAAGGGGCGAAAAATGGGGTGCGACAGTTGTGCCTTGATAAACCAGTCTTCGAGAATCCATAATCAACCATACTTTTGGCTTGGGAGACTCAAAACCTTAATTGAGGCGCGACACCTGATGCTCTTGATTCAGACCTGTCTTTGCACATGACACAAAAGAAAACATGAACATACACCTTTGTATGTGATTAGAAATTAGTGATACATATGCTAAAAATGTTCAAAACACTTGATAATCTTCGCATAGTCAAAGCTCGAAGGTGAGACGTTAAAACCGACCATATTTCGTGACCTTGACTTATCTTAAAAAATGCAAAAAATAAAAATGGGATCTTAGGTCAAAAATTGGGGTACAACACCAGTGCCTACATTGCTAGGGGATATCCTACACTCTTTTCACACTCGCACAATGAGGAAAAGAGGTGTCCTTATGTGCTGCACTCCTCTCTTGGAAAGATGGTTTATTTCTCATCTTCCCCAATCAGTCTTAAAGAATGAGCAAGGTTCAAGGTGGTCACAAAGGTTGATGACGCTCAAACATTCAGACATTCATTGGTGCTCTCGATCCAAAGAGAATGTTATCATTGTAGACCGTTGTGGAGAATTCCGTAATGTCCCTTTACTTGGAATCAGGTGAGGAATCACCTACAAACCTTGCTTAGCCTTAAGGAAGTTTGGTTATGCCCGAAGGGATGGCCCGCACGAGATGCTGATTCAAGGTTTGGTATTCGACTACGATAATAACAATCAAGGTCTTCTCCAGAGATTTATCCGAGCTTGGAGGATGTTAAACAAGGTGGATAGAAAGACTTTGGGACACAATAATTCCATCCCTCTCAAGCCTTACCTCAAATGGGTACGAACTCGCGCTCAAAATATTATGATGCCTTACCCCTCCATTCTCCCGGTAATCATTGAGCCTGTCATGGAGGGAGACGTTCCATGCACTATCCTACATCCTGACATGCCCACATCTCTTGAAGACCTACAAAGGGATTGGATACAACTCAAAGGATAGCAAGATACTTTTGAAACCCAATTCTACGCAAGCAAGAATAAGGTTTTGGAACTCACTAAGCTACTTCATGAGGATAAGACTCTGAATGCCTACATTGCACCAAAGATGATGCACACTACTTTTCTATCTTAGAGTTTTGTATTATTTTTCCCAAGGGGCATTGATGTACTCAAACTTTATCTTACTAATATAACGTGTGTTTCCTTTTTGTCTAAAACAAATTTTAATCTTTGAAATCCTTGAAAACATTGCATATGCACATATCATTCATCATAACATAAACAAGTCTTTTGCAACAAGTCTCCTCATCTCTCTACTGTTTATTTCAGTAAGATGGATCTCGAGAAAACAGTGAAAGACCTCCAAGCTCAGAATACGCAGTTTCAACAGTTGCTCATGACCCTAGCCAAGGGGCAAGAAGAGTTGAAGACTCTGCTGGCTGAAGAGAGGAAGAAGAAAACAAAGAAGGTAATCGGAGTCTTAAACATGGGAAGAAGATTTCATGGGCAGACAAGAAGGACTTTGGACTTTGCAACAACATCCGGTGAAGGAGAAGGGAAAGGCAAGGAAACAGTTGTCCCATCAGAATCAGAAGAAGAGGACTACTCTGAGGAACAATACCCTTCAGCTGATGACACGTATAAACATCTTGAAGAGCGATTGAGCGCGATGGAAATCCAAAAGGTGCCAGGCTTGGACTTTGAGGAATTGGGACTAGTGTCGGGGATTGTGATTCCTCCAAAATTCAAAGTGACTATATTTTCCAAATATGATGGAGTGTCATGCCCTAAAATTCATCTTCAATCATATGTGAGGAAAATTCAACCCCATACCGCTGATAAAGACTTATGGGTACATTTCTTCCAAGACAGTCTGTCTGGTACTCAACTTGATTGGTTTTACCAACTAGAAAGGGCTAATGTTCACAATTGGGAAGATCTTGCTGCAGCTTTCTACAAGAAATACCAGTACAATGTTGATTTGGCGCCTACCCGTACTTAACTCCAGAGTATGGCCATGGTGTTCAATGAAGGTTTCAAGGACTATGCACAAAAATGGAGAGATTTGGCTGGAAGAGTTCAACCCCCTCTATCTGAGAGAGAATTGGTAGACATGTTCTTAGGCACCTTATCCGGTCCCTTCTTCAATCATTTAATCAAAAGTTCATCTGCAGGGTTTACTGAACTAATATTGACCGGAGAGAGGATAGAAGCCAGTATAAAGAATGGAAAGATTCAGAAAGATACATCTTCTTCTACAGCTGTAAGGAAGCCTTTCATTGGAAAGAAAGAGGTAGCTGCTGTATATCTGCAAAGAAACCAAGATAGAGCCGAACGCCGACCAATGGTGGGGGTTGTTATGATCCCAAAGCCTACATCTGATCAACAAAGAAATAATCAGCCAAGGGAAGAAAGGTCAGTCAGACAATTTACCAGAATCAACATGACTCTGTCTCAAGTATTACCTCATCTTCTAAGATCCAACTTGGCAACCTTGAAAGAAGCTCCGAAAAACCCCAACACAACATCTCCTCATTATCATCCCAATGCCCGTTGCGCATATCACTCTGAAAGTCCTGGTCATGATACTAATAACTGTCGGGCCTTGAAGAACAAAATACAAGACCTCATTCAAGAAAAATAAATTGAGTTTGATGTGCCCGAGAAGTCAAATGTCATTTCTGCTCCTATACCCAGACATGGTTACAATACCAATGTCGTTGAAGAAGATTTGTTTGTTACCACAATTGATGAACTCATGACCCCACTTCCGACCATTAAGATAAACTTGTTGAAAGCAGGTGTGTTCCCGGGCTGTAATGAAGTTTTCCATCTCTGCTTATCATCACCAACTAGCTGTCCTTTGTTGAAGGCAGGCATTCAGTACCTGATAGATATCAAAGAGATTTTGTTTGAAAAGACTCTTGTTTCACCTATTCCTGTTGAAGATGTTTCTATTATTACCATTTCCACCAATTCTTCCAGGGTCTCCACCAAAAGACCCGTTAGAATTACATCGGTTCCGAAAGCAGCTCCTTTTATAATCACAATGCCGGGGCCAATCCCATATGAATCAGACAAGACCGTACCGTGGAATTACGGAGGGGACATTTACTACCATGGCATCAAACAAGACTGGCCAGCCTCCAAAGAGATAAACTCCAAAGAAGAAG